TTTCAATTTTTTCCCATTCTGGGATTTCAGATAGCGTCATCCAATCGAAGACTTTATATTTATCAAATGAAGCAGACCACTTTTTCAGATATTCAGAAGCTGTGTTGAAAAATGCCACTGTCTCTTCTTCAAATTTTGAAATCAAAATTGTTGTTTCAGGTGTAGGATTATCATTTTTAAATTTGCTCATTTGCATTTTGGTTTGCAAACCAATGAATTTGGCAGATTTCCTTTCAATCAGAATGTTTTGTGTTTCGTATAATATTTTTCTGATTTCAATTATATATACTTTGTTCTTTTCCACTCTTTTTATGTTCTTTTCAAACAAATGCAGGTTGGAATGCAGAAACAGGAAATAAATTTCACTAATGGTATTTTTGAAAAAATCTGAAATAATTTTAGGTGGCTTTTCTTCCGAGTCAAAAAAATGTTTGAGCGGTGTCCAAAGTTTCAAGATTCTTTCAACGGCGGGCATTAATGACATCCATCTTGTTCTTGAGTGTGACAAAAGAGTTTGGTGATTAAAATCAACAAATGCGCAGAACTCTTTCAGCTTCTTGGTTCTAACCGTGTATATTGCAAAATAATTAAATATTTCAAGGACGATAACTTCGACATCCACAGATAAGATTCCAGCGGCGCTCTATAGGTTGCTGCAGGTCTTCTTTCATTTTATGAAAAACATTGCGTTGACCGCGTCGTTCAAGCCCTCCAAAGTTGGTATTGGTGTTGTCCCCACAAAAAGCTATCAACTTATCCAGTGGAATCTGCAATTGTCTCAAAGTGTCGAGACAATATTTGGAGATAGTTTCCGACGTTTCATTTTTTAAAGAATCAAACTTCAATAGCTTTTGTTGGATACCATCGTATTCAGTGAAATATTGAACAAGTGAAGGAAACATTTTTTCAGCTTTGTGATTGGACGCGTCAGTGCCTATTCCGTAATATGAAACTTCTTGCAATTTTTTTTTCTGACACAGAATGTGGAGCGAGAACATTTTTAACAATCGCTGTAGCCTTCGTTCTTGCCGTGGACTGTTTTGCTGCGATTTTAGAGTCGGGATACAATGTGGCATTTAATTTTACGATACAGTCAAGTGAACTGAAAGACTGATGATGTTCAATAACTTTATAAGATGTCGTTAGTTCCGCTGCCGCAATAAGCAATCCTTCTTGGGTATCCTCTTTAATCATAAATCCGGATATGGGGGACGATGTCGATACAACAGCGAACCTTTTTTTGTGGTTAGTCGTTACAATTACAAATAACACAATGCGCTTCTCCATTTGTACGTCCTTTCTTTATAAAACTCCACTCTTTCGTATAGTCGAAAAATGGCACTTCCTCTTTCGCGCTGCTGACATTTTCGTCAATGAACGTATAGGTAGTTTAATTAGTCACGGCGCGGTTGGATTCGAAAATTCGTTCTTTACGCCTTCGAATAATCAGAACGACTGAGCACTGGTGGTGTTTATCTATCAGCATCAAGTGATGCAAGAAGTGGGGGAGAGAGATTCTAGCCGCATTAGCGATAAGAGAATTTATTACATCGGATGACCGGCGAAATTTGCATTGCCCAGTTTCAAACGGGACATTTTCGTCCTTTGTCGGGACGTCGGGTTATAGAGCTCAATAACGGTGACAGTCCCGATATATCGGGACGGATGGCAACCCTAGGCCTGGGTGGTGATTAAGAAATTGATTTATGTGCGTAATTGTGTTTATTTGGAAGTTGTTATCAAATTTTTTTTTATTTCGTTTAGTTGATTTTTTAAAAGTTTTTCAATAACCTGCTCCATCCCTGTAGTCGAGGTTGGCGGTGGCTTTAATCCAACAATGTTTATTTATTTTCAATCTGATTGTAGAATTTAGTCTATTCGGCTCTCAGTATAGGGTCGTGGGTTTGTGTGTACTGTCGGTATAGTCTACGTTTTTGTTTTATGAGGTTTAGGATGTTAGGAGGGAGTGTGTGGTAATCAGTTTTCATGGTGGTGAGGGGAACTGTGGCGTCAATGGCGTCTGTAATTGTGGATTCAAGTGTGTGTATGGCGTTGTCTATTCGGTTTGGGGATTCGAGTGGGGGGTTAAGTGGAAGGTGTTGTGAAATAAGGGTTCTGAATTGCTTCCAGTCAGCTTTTTTGATGTTGAGGAAAGTGATGGTATCTGAAGGTTTTGGAATTGGGTTCATGAGCTGAGAGTGACAGAGGAGAGGGAAATGGTCTGAGGAGATGGATTCCCTCGAGCATTTCTATCCACCTTTCGGTGCATATGATATGATCGATGATGGATGACCCACCGTATGAAAAAAAGGGGTAATTTTGGTTGGGGATTCTATGAATGGGAAGTTCGAGTAGGTGATTAGTGAGGAGAAGTCCATTTCGATTTCTCGCGTGGTCTCCGAACTGCGGATGCCTAGCGTTGAAATCGCCAAGGAGTATTCCTCTTTGGAGTGAGGATAGATATGTGATTAGGGAACGGGATAGGGTTTAAGTCGAATGGTTGTAGTACGCTATGATGGTTACGTAATGATTTGGGGTGTGAAGGTCGATGGCTTGAATGTCTAGGTCTTGTAGGTGAGATGGGATGTCATGTGGTGTGTGGGGGATGCCGTGTCTTACGAAGAAGCCGATGCTTCTTGATGTTTCATTTTTTGGTGTATGTATTGTGTTAAATCCAGTGAAGCTGGGGGAATGTTTCTGAAGGGTGTCTGTTAGGGCTAGAATTTGTATGTTTTGATTTATGAGGAGGTTTTCAAGGAGGCGTCTTTTTCGGGTGAGGCCCTGGCAGTTCACGGTACCGACTGTAAAGTTTGCTGTCATCGCTGTTCGTTTTTTAAGATTTTATTTTATTTCGATTTCATTGTTTTTATTTTCAAATTTTGTTGAAGAAAAACCACACCTGGCCCACCGAGCATGTACAGGGTGGCGCAAAAGAAACGAAGGGGTTTGAATAGTAATTAACTTGTTTATTTCAGTATATATTCAATTGTTTTTTTTTCAAACATACTACATTAATGGGGAATTTGTTTGATTCAAACGTGAAAAATAACGTCGCGTAGGTGGTGTCCATTTTCAGCTTCGCAAAGTTGCGCTCTTTCCAAGACTTTCTCCATGACTTTGCGCATTATTTCAGGTGTTATTGATCGAATTTCTTCTCGAATATTATTCTTTAGTTGAAGTATGGTCTCTGGTTTATTCACGTATACACGTTCCTTGAGATATCCCCAAAGGAAGAAATCGGGAGCGGTTAAATCCGGAGAACGCGGCGGCCAATTGAAATCTCTCCGTCTTGAAATGATGCGTTCGCCGAAAATTTCTTGTAACAAGGCCATTGTTTGTCTTTCTGTATGGGCTGTGGCTCCATCTTGTTGAAACCATAGTTGTGGGTTGTTTTCCACAGCTGGTCTCAAGAAGTTAGCCAACATGGTGCGGTATTGAACAGCATTGATAGTGATTGCAGCACCCACTTCGTTTTCAAAAAAAATATGGACCATAAATCCTTTCGGATGATATTCCACACCAAACTGTACACTTTTGAGGGTGTAATTGCCTTTGATGGATTTCCCTAGGATTTTCTGTTGACCATATTCGGCAGTTTTGCTTATTGACAAATCCATTCAGGTGAAAATGAGCTTCGTCACTCATTATCAGATTGTGCACGAAATCATGATTTTCTTCCGCTTTCTGCCGAAAAAAAAACAGCAAAATCGAGCCGCTGCTGATAATCGGTGGGTTTTAGCTCTTGAACAAGCTGCACCTTATAAGGAAACATCTTCAATTTGGCCAAAAACGTCTCCTTGTTGAAGTTGTTGGATTTTCGTGCACACTCTCCAGCACGCGTTGAACATTCTCTTCGCTACACGTCGTTTTCGGCCTTCCAGTTCGAGGAAGGTCAGAGACAGTCCCGTGTTGTCGAAAACGTGCAATTCTGCTTCTGCTGCTTCTGATGGACCATTTCTAACATGGAAAAAACGGCGATAGGCGCGTTGAATCAGAATAATTGACCGTTGGTTTCCAAAATAAAATTCAATGATTTTCGTTCGTTGTTCAATCGTGTAATTTTCCATATTGAATTTCCCAAGTCTTTTTCACACAAATCACAAATCTGAAAAACAATAAAATTGAATTAAAGAAAGTTATAGGCCTTTCAAACCCCTTCGTTTCTTTTGCGCCACTCTGTACATATGCAGGTGTGTCCAATTGGACCAGCATATTTTTGTTCAAACTCGTGAGGATCTGTTGACGTTTTTCTGGAAAGGTCTCAATTAATACGATTGTGTTGAGCATTATAATTGATTTAGTGGCTTCGGTGAACTCTGGGAGGATTGGGAGGGGGGGGGTTAGGAATACTGGAGCTACTTCTGATGGGATTTGGGGGGGTTCGGCCCTTTTTGGGCATTTTGGGGAAAGGCGGGGTGATTTCCGCTGCAATTTTTACATTTAGGAGTGCCAATTTTAGGGCACTGTTGGGGCTTGTGTTCTTCGCCGCAATAGTGGCATGAAATTCGGTTTTTGCATTCCTCTAGGGAATTTCCGTTTTTCGCGCATCTACTACAGTATTTGGGGATAGGAGGGATAGGGTTGGGATTGGAGGGTTCGACCTGGTATTTCATTTCGGAGAATGAAATACCTTAGTTTGGGGCTCTGGAATATTGAGATTCAGTGTCAGTGATGACTCTGATTAGGGTGGTAGGTAGGTTTTTTGCCCTGGAGGTGATTCTCCATAATTTAATGGTTGGGAAGTGTATTTGTTTGGAGGATTCTTCGAAATCCTCCATGGTGATGTCATTGGGAACCCCCTTGATCACCATGGAGGATTACGCGAAAAGAGTTTTCTCCTGTTGAATTTCTTTGTTTTATTTCGAGTTGAGATTGTGTTATTTGTGAGGTGGTTTCAAGTAGTGCTGTCTGGTTTAGGTTGTCCTATAGGAATAGGATTTGCTTTCTTAAAAGCCTTTTTAGTTTTTGTGAGGTTTTATAACTCTTTCTGTGATCTGAATTTAATTGGGAGGGATCTTAGGTTGGAGGTTTGTGGGGATGTGAGGTGATTGTGGTTTGGGGGTTGTTGTGTTGTTGGTGTTTTTGGAGGAGGGTGTGGGAAGGGGGTTGGGGGTGCTGGTGATGTTGTTCGCTTTAAGAGCAGTGGAAAAATCTAGGGATTCATTAATATTGTGCAACATTGTTGCATCGGCGAAGGAGTTGTTGGACTCTAGAGAGTCATCGTTAATTGAGGATGGGGATGAGGGAGTTTGGGGTTGTGGGGTGGAGGAGGTGGATCTTGATGTCATCCGCGGCGGGATTAGGTTTTTATGTTTTTCAGTTGGCATAGTGAGTATCGAGTTTATGAGTGTGATCAGGTATAGTCAAAAAACAAATTGAGACACTTTTTAAATCGACTCACCCCTTTCACTGTTTACTCGCTCGTCACTTCACTTCACTTTACTGGCACTTTCGCTTTTAATCGCTGTTCGTTGGTTTGCCACAAGTTCACTCCGCTGTTTCTACTTGGGACTAGTTTGGGTCAGGGACTAATCCTTTAGGTGTCGACTCTGCTAAGCTCGCTGGTACACTGTGTGTGTCGTCTATCTAATATACACAGGATATTGCATTTATATACATTGAAATGTGTGACTTATCACCATCACCATTATCACCACACTTCCATAAAACAGCCTTGAGATGACTCTCGTGGCAACCGGCAATCCTCTCAAGGTCACTCAACCCTCAAGGCCACTTCACTCTCGGAGTAACTTCAATCTCGCGGAAGCCGTTCACTCCTCTCAAGGTCACGAGCACACTTGAAGACCTAATGCCCTCCTCCTCAAAGTCACGAGCAGACTTCAAGACCATATTCTCTCCTCTCAAGGTCATATTCCCTCCTCTGAAGGTCATATTCCCTCCCGACCTTGAGGAGAAGACCGAAAACGCTTAAGAATCTTCTACTCATTACTATAGATAACAAGTAATTCATCATATCGAATGATTTCCTTGATAGGATCATCTCTTAAAATAGGAAATATAAGCTGTTTCATTGTGTGGTTCGCTTTACCATGTAAACCATCTAGTATGACCCTACGAGATGACAAAAGATTAGTGAACGCTGCTTCCTTTCTTACATGTCTTGTAATGTCGTGACAAGGCAAGTTTTGTTAATAACACTTTGCAATTTGGCCATGATGCATAATTGGATGGATTCATAAATTTTTCTGTCAGAATCCTTGCAACAATAACTCCATGTCTATCCTTAAGAAAGTGTTGGAGGTTTACATCCTTCCTAATGTCTGCTAATAGTAAATTCCTTTTGGGGTGACCTAAAAATTGTAAAGATTTCCCACAATTCCAAAATATTGTTATGTATTTTATGAAATACGATTCGATTTCTGACTTACTTTTCGGAAGTAACATGAACTCTCTGACTTGTGGTGCTTCCTCATGTAACCTTGTCAGGTGTCTTGGTAATTTTGTTACTGCATGAATATAGGACTGAAGAAATTATCACTACATTTTATAGTAATCATGTCACTAATAGTTTCTTTCATATAAAAATAGACAAATTTCACAATACGAAAAGGAAATATCCATCAAAGCCTGTATTTCCGTACTTTTATATTCTATACATTATACAATTATTCAAAACATTGAACATTTAGTTCTAGCAAACGCAAATCCTATTTTTATTTCACTTCCAGAGGAAATTCCAGACACCAAAGACATGAGTTTTTCCTAAATTACAAGTTCTTACCTTGAGACTTGAGTTGTTTGAAATTCATCATCAACTGTGGAAGTAACATTTCCATTGGCCACGGAACAAGTTGGGGTAGATTTTCGAAATCAATGTTGAAAGTATCATTTCCTGGTACTTTAATATTTGAATGAATCTCATTCGTGATGGAACACTTTGGTGGTGGTTTTTTTAGAATTGAAGTTAGATATTACCTCATTTTCTGATGAATCAACATTAGGATCAGACTCGAAATTATTATCATTGGTGATGGAACAGGTGAGTAGGTTTTCATAATTGTTAAAGTTATCAAAGTTCAAAACAGAATCCTTATTCATTGTTTCATCTATATGTGATGTAGATACTGTGTCATTTGAGTGAAAGGACTCGAAGGTTCGATATTTATTACCTTGATTATCAGGCGTTCGAGTAGATACTGTATCATTCAAAGGATATTGACTTGAATGTTGGATATCAGTTTCATCATTCGAATGGAAAGGACCACTATAAGTTGAGGTATCTAGAGAGTGTTCTGCCAATGTTCTATCAGGACGTTGAGTAGATATTGTATAATATGAGGGAAATTGACTTGAATGATTGATATCAGTTTCGTCATTCGAAGGCTTAGTGTGGGTTTCGTCGTTTGAAGTATATCTTAAAGGTGTTTCACATGGAATAAATATTGTGGGATTCACGGAAAATTGGGTTGGAGGGGATGATGCGGATTTTTCATGGATTATCGTTTCTTCTTTGTCTAATGTTCTTCCAACTCTAGATAACTAGAAATCAGAAAAGCGGTATATAAGCTGTTAATGTAATTAACACAATTCCAGAGATGAGTGCCTACAAATAGTAAATATGGTATTATTCTGGCTTGTAAATTGTAAACTGTATCTTGACACATATTTTCATAACTCTAGTTTCATTTCCAAGGCAAAAAGGGCAAAAATGTATTAGGCAATTTTTGTTTTCAAATTTGCGTACACCACTGAATTCGAAGTCCTTATAAATAGAAACCATAAAAATTTCATAAAAAGTATTGGTTAACAACGAAGTTAAAACTACTTCAATTTTGGAAACAAAGTATTTGATTGTAATTTTTATTCAGATACAAAATGTTTTAATTTTGCTAAAATGAAATCGCGGAAACTCAGTTTTTCTATAGTTTGAGAATTGACTGAGATTTTTGTCGCATCTCTCACGATTTTCAAGATCCGACTATGAGCGTCAAATTTGAATAATTCTTTGGTCAATCAGTGTAAGTAAATTGTCTCCTACTGGTTGAAATGAATTATCCAGATAGATACTCATCATAACACATTGGAGAACAATTTCAAAATATGGCTCATAAAACTATTAGGCACATTTTCAGCATTTTGTATGATTGATATAAATCTCACCATATCCTATCATTAGTCCTGCCAAAGAACAGCCTCTTCCTGAAAATATGCTTCATATGCAATCTGCTCTTTTTCTGTTTCATTAATCTTGGAGTTTGATCATTGGTTATTTGATCCACCGGCGTGATTTCATTCCCAAATCGATTTTGTTTCAGTTTGATTGATCAATAGCTTGACATTTTCTTGTCTGCAAATATTTATTTATTTATTTATTCGATTTTAACCAAACAGGCCGAGACGGCCTTATTACATGGTTAACAACTAGACATAATACTTGAAGTGTAATAATTAGGCTATGAACCTACATCATAAACATGTTACATACCAATATATCCTTAATGAATTGCAGGGGCTTGTACCTAATCCAAAATAATAATATATAATATATACATATATATATATTGTTAGGAGGAGGGTAGTCGTGACTGACTAGTTAAGGTAAAAATACATTAACTTTAGAAACAGTTCCAAAGGAAATCTTTCTAGGTGAGGTTGCAGTCAAAATTTTGGCCTTAATGAGAGGACTCTTTGTTACATAGCCGAGCTTTCGGAAATGTTTATTTCCTTTATCAAGACATCTATAAAAAATGGGTAAGTGAAAAAACTTTGTCAATAATACATTTAAAAAAGTACTTACTAACGTGAGATTGGTGTAAAACACAATGAAATACATAACAGTAGCATCTTCAGCTGAATTTGACGATTAAAACATTTTTTAATTTTATAATTTTAGGATAAAAAACAATAGGAATCAATCCACAGGTTTCATTTCTTTTCCGTAACGGACCTTTGAAAACAAAATGGACGGTTGGAAGAGTCGGAAATGCCAACTACTTCGGTGGAAATCGTTTCAGACCGACGACCGTTGTGAGAGAAGAAAGGGAACCGTGGCGGTAAATTTGAAAATTAATTGGGTGGTGAGACAAGAAATTAAGGTTGAGGAATTGTTTGTGATAATCTAAATATGTTATTAGGAATACAATTTTTTTGTTCTATTGCAAGTAAATAATTATAAATGCTACTCAAGTTGCCAATGTCTGTTCTTTTATTCATTTTCGAAAGTTCATTATTGATAAAAACCATTTCAAGAAAATTTCGTTTGAGATAATTATTTTCATGAGCTAAAATTTTGACATCATTGAAATTCATATGGTGACCTACATCATTAACATGCTCTGCTAATGCACAAGTTCTTTTATTACATTTGCTGTCACTCTTATGTGAAATTATGCGTCCTGATAAATTCCTGGAAGTTTGGCCAATATAAGTCAATTCACAATTCTGACAAGGAATTCTGTATACCACATTAGTCATTTCTAATTTATTCATGGGAGATTTTGTTTTGGTGAAAAGAGAGGAGACAGTTTTAATTGTTTTTTTAGCAATTATGAAGTTTTCATTTTTGAAAATGTTGGCAAGTTTAGGAGTTAAATCTTCTATGTAAGGAAGTGATGTATATTTCGGAATTTCTATATTTTGAGGAGCAACCGGAAGAATTTGTGAATTTGGAAGATTATTATCATTATTTTCTATGATTCTAATTTCTGAATTGAACAAAATGTTATTGATTATTTTAATTGGATAAGAATTCTCAAGTAATATGTTCCTTAATTCATTCAAACTATTTTGCCTGTGCAAAGGATGTGTCAACTTGACCACCTACACAAACATATACATATACATATATACATTGGAAATATCGGAAAAATCCATTGAGACCTGTTACATTTCATAAGGAGATATCCAATATGTGATTGATAATTACTGTATAAAAGACTTTAGGGGGTAGAGAGAAATCGACATTTACAAATACATTATAATTGTTGATTAATTTTATAATACTTACGAGAGGAGCTCTTAAAGTTAAGAGAGAATTTGGTATATTGAACATAAGTATTGAACGAGTACGACGCCCAGGTACATTAAAAGGAATAAGTGAAAGAATTTCGGGACTATTTAATTTACTGTTAATCACCTTGTACAGAAACATAATTGCAATTAAATTTCTTCTCTGGTCCAAGGACATCATTTTGAATTCATTTCTTAAATATGTTGATCTAACTGTATAATCAGGCCAAGAACGGTATTTTCTAAAATACAATATTCTTAAAAATTTGTTTTGTACTCTCTCTATTTTATCCAATGAGGATGCATACTCTGAAAACCACAGTAATGATGCAAACTCCAACTTAGGCCTTATAAGTGTAATATAGAGTAGCTTTATAGTGGTAATATTTGTGAATGCTGCAGATTGTCTCATTACATATCCTAGCGTTCTGTTAGCGGTTGACACTATATTCCTTATATGTTCCGCAAATGAAAAAACTCCATTGTAGGTTACACCAAGATCCTTAATTTCTGTACATCTGAATAGATCCTCTCCTCCCATCTCATAGTTAAAGATAATCGGCTCTTTAGTGCGAGTTATACTCATCACTTTACATTTACTGAGATTGAAATGTAGTTTGTTAATCAGGCTCCATTCATAAATACTATGCATGTCTTTCTGCAGCATAACACAATCCCTTACTGAATGTACTTTTTTATATACTTTGAGATCATCTGCAAACAAGAGGCATTCGGAGTATTTAATAACCGTAGAGAGATCGTTTATAAATATAATGAAGAGGAGAGGCCCCAAATTGGAGCCCTGCGGCACTCCAGAGTTTGCATAATATTTTCCAGATACATTTCCTTTATGTCTGACAATAAATTTTCTATTTTCTAAATAATTTTTCATTAATTCAATAGAGTTCTTCGTTAATCCGAACAGTGCCAACTTTTCCAGAAGGACATCATGATTTACACGGTCAAATGCCTTGCGGAAGTCGGTAAATACCGTGTCCATTTGGGATTTACATCCAAATGTTTCAAATGCTCGGTTTCCAAAAATAAACAAATTTGTATTGACCGACTTATTTGACATGAAACCATGCTGCTCAGATATTACGTATTTTTCAGCATATTGGTATAATTTACTGTATATGATCTGTTCGAACAGCTTGGATGGAGCACACATAATAAATATTGTCCAAGACATCATAATTTGCATGTCTACCAAGAATTTCTCCATTAACTTCATCTACACCGATCATCGCCCGGTACATATTGCCTTGGCGACCTGTGATAGATTTGTTTGTGAGGATGAAATAAATATGGGTGTCCAGTTTAACTAAATAAAACATGTTGAAAGTTGTCATAGAAGGAAAAAAGCACTGTAAGTTCCTGATAATACAGCACTCTCTGGCGGTTATCGCCCCGACTCAATGGAATTAAAGTGTGCTCACCTGGCAGAGGTCTAGGAACCGCTTCATTTTGGTTCTGTGGTCTGACGGCATTTTCTTTCTCTCCGCCTACATTCTCCCTTTGTGGTCTCCGAGGGTTATTTATTAGTTGCAGCGCTAATGCTTCTGTGAAATCTGAATGTTTGATGGATTGATCACCTTTGAAATATTTATACGATAAAAAAGCATTTGTTTCTATAATGCCAAATATGCTAGAAAACATTCTGTGTTCCCATCGTTGGGTATTCCATACATCTTCCAATGCCAAACCGCTTTGTCGAATGTGGTTGTGTATATCTATGGCAGGAGCACCATCAAAATACTCCTGTACGAGCTGCGTCCGTGGTACTTCTTTAATCGTGGTTTCTCCAGTAGCATCAGTTCTCTTTTTTTTCGCGGGAGTACCCTCTAGGCTAGTACCACAGGTTCCAATGAAAGTGTGTACCTTTTTATCCCTCCAAGCTAGACAAATCAGATCCGTCTCCAATTCATTCATTTTGGCTGTGGCAATTGTGAATTGTCCTCTTTGTTCTGGACAACGATTCCTAGCCTCCTTGATTGGGTAATTTCTTGTAGCCGTTTTGACGATACCAATATAGAACAATCCCCTTCGATACAATTCCGATGCTGTTTTAACAGAAGAAAACCATGAATCGCCTATAATAATTCAGCCAGAACCATGCGATGGGCGTGTGAGACGTAAAGTAGTTGCAGTCCCTGCACCTAGCTCCTTTTGCCATTGTTTGCGTTGCATTGCCTCTCTTCCCTCATTTATTTCAATGCCTATCATACCTCCAGACTGCACATCTGCTCGCAACCATCGCCCTTGGGCTTACGTTTGATCTTTATCACTGCTGGCATACCATCCTTTTCGTGATGCAAGCCTTTTCCGTACCAAGCAAACATGGATTCGTCTATCGTTATTTTGTAGCCGGGTGTAAAAACATCATTCCACTTATTGCTAGTCATTTCTATGAAAGGTCGAACTTTTGCCCAACCATCTTCATTATTTTCATCATCTGGCATAGCAAAGGCAATGCAACGCATTATTTCTTCGAAACGATGAAGACCCATACCAAATCTTTTCCCAAAGGCAAGAGCAGGAAAAAGTTCATATTCGTTCGACCAGTAATCTCTTCGAGTATGGCAAATATGCAGAGTCATGGCATATATAATCCCAATTGCTTTGTAAAATTCATCTTTCGTAATAGGTTTTCTCCTATCACGGAGATTAGCGTTTGTGTATTGTAGAATTCCATCAATATTTTCACACGGGAAGAAGGCCATCCAAAAGTCTAGTTCAGTCATATTATGTAGATTTTTAATAACACGGAGTTGAGGTTTGTAACGGGAATCTTTGAATGCATTGATTTTCACAGGTTTGTCAAACTGCCAGTCGGTATCATGAACTCTTACCAGATCGTCATCATGTTCATGTAACACAACTTGATCATTCGGTGAATTTTCACTTTCATTTTCTGATGTAGAACTCTCAGAACTTGAGCTATCAGAACTGTCAGAAGATGCATCTGAAATTTTCCTCCGACATTCTACTTCAACATTTGCTGCTCTTCTCTTGAGATTATTGCTCCTAGAAGTGATATTCTCTATCGCACCAGGCGTTGAGGCTGTATATAAAGATACAGCTTCAACTATAAATGGAAATGGAATTCCATTATGTCAGAATTAGCGAATATCAAAATTTTTTATTTTAAAGGAATTTTTTTCTGGAAAAATATTGATTATTCACTCGAAAACGATTTCGTTAGTGAGTTCAGAGTAATTATAAATAACGATTCAACAATATTCTGAAAATAATATTCTTCAAGAATGCTATTTGTGATATCAGAGTTGCTACTACATTTCAGTAGAAGCGGCAACACCACGTCATTGAAATTTTTACTAAGTAAAGCATCTTCGTTTCTATGAACACTCAGATTCTCGAAGCAGTCTGTTGCCTGGTTCACCAGGAACGTCTACTAGCAGACTGTTTCAATAAATCACCATGCATATTTTCTGATGAACAGTTTTTCTTGATCAACTGATAATCGGTGAAAGAAACAAATGTGTTCAGTATGATTCACCCTGTGTATTGTTATGTGAAAATAACGTAAATTGAAATCCTATGAAAATTAATCAATACGTATGCTTTTTTGCGGACTGAACAACGTACTTTTTTTACCTATTAGTATCAATTTGAAACACCCTGTGAAAAATTTTGGAATCAGCTCAGGAGAAAATCGCTTGAATTGAAATGATATTCATGCGCTATTTCGTAGAATTTCTTTCCGCTGTATAGAGCGTTCTATCTAAAAAAATATAATTTTGGATTGCTGTTTTTTTTCAAGCGGTAAGGATCCCAAGAAATTCTATAACGATCCCCAACTGGTGATATTGCCAGAGTACAGGGTACAAGAAAAAGAGTAATACTGTTCAAGGAAAGAGTTTAGCATTTTCATTTTTGAATGGATAAAAATAAAAAACTCACCTTCCTGGGTTTCGTTAGAAAATCTTTCTATCTGTAATAGATTTGGGTCAATTTTGGTTATATTCCCATCAATGTCCTACTTCAATGTGACAGTATTACTGGATTTTATTGTATTTCTTACAATCCCATAACACCTGGCGGACTGCCACAGATCATTTTCTCGACTGGAATATCTTTCTTTTTAACTCGTCATATCTTGCTACTGGGTGGGGTTACAGTTTCGAATAAAAAATGCGCTGAAAGCTCATAATCTGCACATTATTCCAGACGCACTAAAAATCCTACCAGAATCACAGAAAGTACTATAATTAATAGAAGGACGCTGTACATTCTATCATTAATAATCTGGATACGATTCTCTAGGTTATTTTTCAGCATAGAACATGCACTGTTAGTGAAACCATTGAAATGAAGTATTGCTAAAAGTAGTTGGTGGTTAATACGGTCGAACGCCTTGGAATAATCTAGCAGCACAAGCACTGCTAAATCACCTTTATCAAGTGCACATAAGAGATCATCAGTGACATGCAGTAGTGCGGGCTCACAACTATGTTGAGGACGAAAACCAGATTGATTTTCTGGAAGAAGTGTGTAATTATTGGGATATTCTCTCATTTGACAATTCAAAATTGTCATGCAGCTTCGAGAGTACAGGTGAAATACTAGTCGGTCTTAAAACTTTTCAATCTTCTGGATTATTAATTTTAGGCAGTGAGCAACTTTCCAGCTATCTGTAAACGTTGAGTTTTCTATGCAGAAATTGATAATGTGTGAGATGAATTATCATGTTGAGACAGCATAATAATATCATCTTCAGATTGATTTCATCTGCACTACTCGCATTGGATTTAATATTAAATAGTTGTTCTTTTACGATTTCAGGTTCGACTATTCGCATATCTTTGAAATACAACCAATCAGCTTCTCGTTTTGTTTTTTTGAATTTTGCTAGCGCTTTATCCTTGCCAAATTATCCAAATTGCTTATTTCCTTCAAGTTGTGTGTCAACCAAGGAGCACGTTTTTTTGAAATTTTTGCATTTCTAATTGGTTCATGTGAATCAAAGAGATATAACAATAAATTATTTAAAATATCAACCTTTTCATAAATATCATCAATATAGAAGATCTGGTCATAATTGAGTTCATTGAAATTTGTTAAAAGCGCATCTTAATCAATTTTATCAAATTCTCTATGTGAACAAAATGATGGGCCATTCGTTTTAACTCTCATGTCTATCGAACAATTAACCAAACTGTGATCAGATAGATTCAGGACGTCGAAAGTTTTACATTCACTAATATTTATTTGTTCTGAGCAAAAAAAGGTTCCAAGAAAACACTTGAGCAGCCGAAGCCGTCAACACAGCAGAGAGGTTCAAACAAGAAGAGGGGTCGGGATGACGATAGCGACGATAGCGGCGATCACCAACCCGGTAAGAGGAAACCAACAGTACCACCATCGACGCAGTCGTCATCGAGTACCTCCTCCTCGACACCGTCACCCCACATTTTCCAAGGGGAAGAAGATGAAGAAGAAGGTAGAAGATGGATCTTCATCAACCATCCTTGGAAAGTTCCTGGGTAGCCGCGATAAACCGGACCCGTACCGAGGTGGCAAGGTTTCGACGTGGTACACGGCTCACAAGAAATCTGTTCCCTCAACAAGCGGTACGCAGCAGCAGCAGCAGCAGCAACAGCGACGTCCAACCGTCAATTTGATTAGTGTGGAGGTGGTACGTCCAGCCGATCTACCCTAGAGTGTGGATGAACCACTTCCTTCACAGGAATCAGATGTCATGGGAGAAAACATTGTTGCTGCCGCTGCAGATATGGCCGATCAAGATGTTGATATCCACATACGCATTCCATTGCCACCAAAAGAGCTCATCGACCACGTCAGGAAATATGATGCCGATTTGAAGCGATGGAATGCGAATGTAGATAGTCGGATTGCTGTGAGTAAGAGTAGGTTGCGATCTTTCTCGCAGCAAAGAGAAGCTCTACTTTCGCGGTTTGCTGAAATAGATCGACAGATAGAGTCTGAAGTAAAGTTTCAGCAGGATTGTGAAAGGGGTAGAACTCGTTTCGAGCATTTAGATCGGCTCAATACGGAGTACTTGGCGGATGTATAAGTCAGTTGTGTTTGTATATATATTTCATATTATATTATTTTTTTGTATGAATGTGTTCTGTATTATATAATTTATGTTAATATATGTTTTAGTTGTTTATTTATATATATATATATATATGTTTTATAAAATGTTAACTATAATTATTGTAAATATAAGAGATGTATTCATTGCTGCAACGAGGAAGTAGAGGGCGCAATTCAAGAGGCTTAGGCAGAGAATCGGAGAGAGAGCAGCGAGGATGACCGAGCAGCGGAGGAGGTTGAACTGGACGGTATCGAAAGACATCGGCGACGGAGGAGGGCCGATCGGCATAGGCGCCGTCTACGACGCCACCAGCGTCAAAACCAATATTACGGAATCGATGAATTCCAACGCCAGTAGATGGAGCTCGACAGCGACGATGAGCGGGAGCTTCATCGTTTTATGCGCGAAGAAATTATATTTCAACTTATTTTTCACTGCTATTTTCACATCTATATTTTATATAATATACATTATAATGAATAAAATCAATGAAATTTCTCGGATGTGATTTTTATTTCGAAAAACTTATAAATATCTATACCCACCAATAGCAAACATGAGCACATTGTACGAACCGTGATGGAGACGAATCCAAGCGAGATGAGAAACAAATTAATTGGGCAATAACATTTTCAAAGAATTCAATAAAATTATTGGAAGAAAAAAAACTATTTTCGAATTTTCAGGGTCACGAAAAACTTGGCATACGTCGCAAAAATTCCAACGAAGGTTGAAAAAAATCGGAAAAATTTGACCAGATTTCTTCCTTTATGACAATCATTTTCCTTCATATAAAAATTTTTGTCACTCCTTTCAATATGGCAATTTACTACGAAACATTTTCAACGGAAGGGAGGGGGCAGAAATTTCATAACAAAAAATTTCTCACAAAAATTCAACTAATACATGGCCACCATGAAAGTACGAAAAAAAGGTGATAAATCTTCGGCTCGTTGAAATTTTAGAATTTTCAATAATTCAGTTGATAATGATTTGATTTTATTCAAAATTGGTATCTGGAGGTTTTCGGGGTCGGAGATTATGATTCTTTTGTCAAAATTTGAAAATTCAAGATGGCGGCCAATACGGCGGACGAATAGGAATATTATCTGAATTCATTCAAATTTGGTATCTGGGGGTTTTTGGGGTCGGAGATTTCGTCAAAATCTGAAAATTCAAAATGGCGGACGAGTTTTATAATTATTATCCAAATCTATTCAAATTTTATATCTAGTTTTAGATTCTTGGGAACGGATAGCTATCACACATACAAACACAATATACCAAATTCATTCCTCAAAATTATAACGTTAATATTGAACAAAAGCAGAACGGCAAATATTCCGAGAGACTCCATCCAATCTGACAACTCGAATGCCTCTCGATGAATCGACCAATAGCGGTTGTGCTCACGTAATTCGACAATACACGTTTCTTATCAGACAAAATAAGTTTACTTTCAAGCAATGAGTAATCTACAGTTGGATATAAATTTAAGACAGTACAAAATAATTAACAATTACAATACATTTTCAAAATATCTATTAAGGACAAGTTGAATTTTCCAGATTGTCTTAGACCACTCTCTCTTACAGGTAGTTTCAACTCTGATCAGATTCATAATTGTACGCATATACCGTTCCACTTGACCGTTTGAACGGTGAACATCAGGTGTGGTATAGTGTAACTGTAGTAACTGTAGAAACTGACATTCAAAGCATCCAAATATTCAGGAATACTCAGATTCTAAAAAGTTGTTCCTGCATCCATAATAATTTCCTTGGGAGTAGTCCATCATTGGAAATCAGTTTTGGAAAGCGTCCAAGTAGTTGTGCTGAAGCATACTGATGTTTTTCCGCCACATCAAGAGAGAGATTTTCAAAGTAGCGGTGAATTGCTGATTTACTGATATACTACCGGTAAGAATCCCAGATATTTCTAGACCGCATTCACTAATCTTTTGTAAAAATTCCTTTGAATTTCGCTTTGCCATAAGTGATATATCGGCACCTGTGTCTATAATTCCGTAATAGTCCTGACCATCGATATTAAATTTCTCTTTAAGAAGCTCTTTTCCGGAAGTACAGAAGTTAACTTTCCCGCGTTTATCGATTCTCTCTTTTATAAAGCAGTTTTCTATGGTGTGACCTGTTTTTGCACAAAACGAGCATACATTGATATTACGTTTATCAATTGCCTGATTTAAACTCGTTGAAGTACTTGCCACACCTATGACATTTCAAACCAGTAAAATGTGCATCGTCGTGTTCTCTGGATCATTCTCGAACACGTTTTCTGGGTGGTTCATCAACAGTCCTTACTGAAGTTATAGATTCTGAAGTACTTCGTTTATCTACCTGCGCGGAAGGTTTCATCAATGTACCAAGGTAAACTAGCAGATCAGGAATTTTCTTCAAATTGAGATTGTTGGCGGTAGTTTGAACATCACGTTCTCTTATTCCTTGAATAATTAGTTCTATTAAATCTGCTTCCGCCCAGTTAGCCCTCAAATTTTTCAGCCAACCTTCAACCATTTTCTCGCATCTGTTATCTCAGGCTTGAATATTGGCAAATCAACCTGCTCAGGAGGTGTTTCAGTAGATTTGATAGCTTTCACAAGTTCTGATATCAACCCCTCCATCACTACAATGAAACAAATACAAAAAAATTTAGCAACTTAATTTTCCTCTGTATATTGAATCTCAAGAATCATTTTAGTTGTAGTGTAGTTGTATTCGCATTATATATAATTTTTTCTATTCAAATATTTGATTGAAATGAAGTTCATTTCGATACATTGATGAATCGATCTTATTTTATATAAAAATTGAATTTCATTGCATACCCATCACCAAGTTCTGGGATTGGTAGCATTCACTCGAGAAATTTGCGGTATAGGCCTTCTCGAATACACCCTAATACTTGGTTATACGCACCACATCGCCGACGTGAAATTTTGACTTTGGCACGGTTTTTGGGTGGCTATAGGCGTGTAGTATTGTAGTAGCTGTTACTTCGGCGGGTTTTATACCCATGTACCCTGTTTTTATACATATTAGTTAAGTGTTGTAATTTATCACACCATTTGTATTCACCTCTTGCAGATAATTCCTTATAAATCTAATGTTTCTGGCTGTTGCGGAGATACAAAATCTCGAAACATTTTCACAAGACCCTTCTTCGCCCATTTTCGTTCTGGATTACTAGGAAATTTGTGATTCTCCTTCACTAACTGTGAAAGAGAAATATCATCTTCGGCATCCCATTCATTGTCTTCAACAGCTGCATTCATTTCGTCATCGCCCAAATGCACAGTACCGCCTTGAATATTTCGAATTCTTTCAAACAGCTTCCGAATCAGGACGTCCAATTCACTAACTATTCATATTCTTCCTGAAAAAAAAAAACAGTTCCGGAAAGTTTTGTCTCACTTTTTATGAAAACGCCCCCGTACTTTTCGTAATTATTGAGGTTGGACTCTGGAATTTGGAAAAGCAGGGAAGAGTCCACAGATACAATCAATGACCAACTAAGACTATCATGAGTCATAGACACTGCTCGCCAGTAGCCATGTGGGTAGTTCCATGGCTGCTGGCGTAGATCACTGATGATAATCTCAGTAGGTCGTTGACTGCATCTTCGAACTCTTCCTCCCTTCTGCAAATCTCAATAATAAAATAAGATACGTGGGTATTTCCATGTAAAGTGAGACAAATTCAGAATTTTCAGAACTGGTAATTTTCTAGGAAAAAGTGAATTGGACTTCCTGATTCCGAAGTGATTTTCAACTTACCTTGTTCCCTAATATCACTTCTGTAAATGTCGGTGTATGAGAAATGCATTGTTCTCAAGGTACAGTGTGTTAAACCTTGAAAAGAATATTTCGTACAAATTTATGCAAGCCTTTTTTTTTTCGCGGAAACAAAGCAAAGTATCAAAACGATTCTGGAGAAGGAAATGTTTCTTTTTCAGTTGGTCAATAGAATATGGAGATGAAGAATTCAAAAAAATCTGTGGCGCACATTTTATTGACAATATGATTCGGTAGGGGGCTCCCTGGGACTCAACTGGATCCCATCAGTCCTATTCAACCATGGCTAAATCAGCCCCTCATGACAAAAAATATAATTGTCTTATTTCAAGAAAATCGGTTGCAGGATATTTGAGATATTCATAAAAAACGATTTTTTAATTTCAACACACTGTTTCTTGAAAACTATGCATTTTCAAACCCACGTATATATGAAATGAATTTCATGTTCTCATGCAGAATCACCCTCCTGATTTCTTGCGCATAATTTTCGGACACCCTGTATATACATTTCATCAAATGATGGTTTTCAATATGTTCATGAATCACGTGGTTACTTGATGAAATATTCAATTGAGATCGATTTTCTTTTCGAGTTTTGTTTTATTACAAAACGAATATTAGTGTTCAAATAATTTATCGTTTCTTTTTTGGTTCTCAGAATTCGGTGAAAATTACCATCCATCAATCTCACAACTAAATATAGTTGAATATATACCAACCTGGTGGTTGTGGTACTTGAACTTCTGGTTGACCAACATAAGAGTTTATATACAGGGTGTCAATTTGAAAACTTCCCACCCTTAATATCTCCCTCCAAGTCGTTAATATGGAAAAACGAAAAGACAGGTCGATTTTATTCTCGAGGGGGACACTTTGAATTGATATTTTTGACCATCATGGTTCAACCCCCTAGGAGGGGTAGATGTCACCCTCAGAATATGAATAGGGAAGAGGGGTCAAGTGGCACATCATTTTGTAGGGCGTTCAATTCTCTTTCCAACAATACCCTACTTTACTATTTTTTGACGAGCAATTTCTGAAAAATAGCGTTCTAAATCTACAGAAGTGATCTAAACTTGCCTGCACAAAGATGCATGATTTTCAGGTTAGTATTTGAACAGAGATTTTTGAATTGATTCTCCTTTCAGTAAAACTAGTCAGGAAATTAGGTAACAACTTCACATCTTTTCAACAGGGGCAACATAATATCTTTCTTTTCAACGGTATATCTTACTTTACTATTTTTTGATAACCAGTGATTAGAACTTGCCTTAACTCAGATACATTGTCTTCAGGACGAAAATTATTGTTTTGAATCTTCCATTGATGAAAATGGTTAGAAGGTTAGGTGGCATCGTTACAATAGAAATAAATCTAGTCTACACACGTTTGATTTTTTGTTCGTTGGTTATATTACTTTGAAAAAAAACTTTCAGAGTGCCAGATAGAAATTTCAAACATCTATTCACGTACTATCTTATAAACTGTTCGAAATGTTGTCCATTTTGTTCTAAACAGTAATAAAGTCTGTTTTAGAACTCCTCTCTAACATTCTGGAAAACTTCACCACGAATCGAGCGGCATGCTGCTGTAATTCGTCCTTTGAGTTCATCAATATCCGTCGGTTGTGTTTTGTAAATGACGGATTTAAGATGTCCCCAAAGGAAAAAATCTAAAGGAGTCAAATCCGGTGATCTCGGAGGCCACTCAGTTGCTCCCCTTCTGCCAATCCATCTATCCGGGAATCTGTCATTCAACCACTGTCGGACAGGAAGAAAATAATGAGGTGGGGCACCGTCCTACTGGAAATGTAACAGATCCTCCTGCAGAAGTAAATTACCGTCTGCATCAATTTGATTTTCTAGCTCGTGAGTTATAAGAGGATCGATAGTATCTTCAAGCATATCTAGGTACAGATTTCCAGTCAAATTTTCTTCAATGAATAAAGGACCAACAATGGCATTTCCAAGAATACCAGCCCAAACATTAATTTTTTGTGGTTGTTGTGTATGTCCTTCTCGAAAAATGTGAGGGTTTTCGTCACTCCAATAGCGACAATTTTGTCTATTCACATTTCCATTCAGAAAAAATGAACATTCATCGCTGAAACACATATTTAATAATAGATTAGGGATGGCATTGACTCGATTTGACATCGTTTCACAAAATTCTATTCTTCTATCATAATCATCCTCATGGAGCTCTTGAAGAATCTGCATCTTATATGGATGAAATTTATGTAATTTCAGTGCTTTTCTCACAGTCTCGTGTGACATTCCCGTCTGTTCTGCCACTGAACGTAAGGAGCTAGTAGGTTCTGCAGCAAATGTTCCCAAAACTTCAATTTGAGCTTCTTCATTCAGTACTCTAGGATTATTCCTTTTTTTATTTTTCACCGAAAAAGTTTCGTAAAACTTTTCCACCAAATCAAGCACATACCGGTGACTAACATTACAATCTGGATTTCTTTCATTAAAAAGAAATGCCGCTCTTCGTGCGCACTTTCCAGCCTCTCCATAAATCACAATCATTTCAGTTCTATTTGAAAGAGTGTAAACCATTTTCACAATTATAGGTACCTACTCTGAATAAACGTATTAATGATTAGCTCAACAAATAAAACTCATCAATCAATAATACTACCAGATCGTTTGAATTTGCTGAACAACTTTTTGCTCAAAAAACAGAGTTTTTTTAAATCAGCAGTGGCAAGAAAGGAACAAAAAAGGAGGGCCATCTGTAGAATTGAAAATCCAATGATAAACGCAAATAAGCTATCATCGAAATGTCACTATTAGATTATTGATGTTGATTTATTGGAGCTGATGGCTAATTATGTTGCCCCTGTTGAAAAGATGTGAGGTTGTTACCTGTTTTCCTGTCCAGTTTTACTGAAAGGAGAATCAATACAAAAATCTCTGTTCGAATACTAACCTGAAAATCATGCATCTTTGTGCAGGCAAGTTTAGATCACTTCTGTAGGTTTAGAACGCTATTTTTCAGAAATTGCTCGTCAAAAAATAGTAAAGTAGGGTACCGTTGGAAAGAGAATTGAACGCCCTTCAAAATGATGTGCCACTTGACCCCTCTTCCCTATTCATATTCTGAGGGTAACATCTACCCCTCCTAGGGGGTTGAACCATGAGGGTCAAAATGATTAATTCGAAGTGTCCCCCTCGAAAATAAAATCGACCTGTCTTTTCGTTTTTCCATATTAACGACTTGGAGGGAGATATTAAGGGTGGGAAGTTTTCAAATTGACACCCTGTATATAAACTCTTATGTTGGTCAACCAGAAGTTCAAGTACCACAACCATCAGGTTGGTATATATTCAACTAAATTTAGCAACTTAATTTTCCTCTGTATATTGAATTTCAAGAATCATTATAGTTGTAGTATAGTTTTATTCGCATTATATATAATTTTTTCTATTCAAATATTTGATTGAAATAAAGTTCATTTCGATACATTGATGAATCGATCTTATTTTATATAAAAATTGAATTTCATTGGATACCCATCACCAAGTTCTGGGATTGGTAGCATTCACTCGAGAAATTTGCGGTATAGGCCTTCTCGAATACACCCTAATACTTGGTTATACGCACCACATCGCCGACGTGAAATTTTGACTTTGGCACGGTTTTTGGGTGGCTATAGGCGTGTAGTATTGTAGTAGCTGTTACTTCGGCTGGTTTTATACCCATGTACCCTGTTTT